TTTCTTCTAGTTCATTTAATGCTTACTCACATTTACTATATAATCAGTGCAAAAGATAAATACTAGTGATCTAACAAGTTCACTTGAAAGTTAACTCTCCACCTAGTGGTGGTACTTAATTAGATTCTAATGTATTGGTTTTGGAAATCCATGTTTTCTTATGTCAGAGATTTCTAAATTTAGTAAGGAAGGCTGTTTTTTATTTTTTATCTTTTTTGAAAGGAAAATTTATTGATGAAGTCTCTTAAAGAGATAACAAGCTAAACAACTTTCAAAAAAAGCAAAAGCATCCTCACATATGAAGATTGACAAGCATCTAAGGTAGTCTAATGTGCGAATAGGGAAAATGAAACATTATTGCATTTTAGAATTGTCTTACATGACAAGGAAAGTCCAATTGATAAATTCAATAAATAACAAACCCCTGCTAAGCTTCAGAGAAAAGATCTATTCCTGGTGGCTCGAGGAAGGTACTAAAGTTATCAGCTCTCAATACCCTAGCTTTAGCAAGATCGTCAACTACTAAGTTTATCTCCTGACTGATATGATTAAAGGTGACTCTCTTAAGTGATTTAGAATGAGTTTCAATGGCATTGGAGATTAGTTTCATACGCCAAGGAACTTTTCTATATCTCTCGTCTAAAGAATGACGTTAGAGGAATTGCTTTCTACTTCCAAGTTAGAGTTGAAGGCCCATGGAGAGGCAAGGAAAAATTTAAGACCTTGGTGAATGGCTTGAAATTTAGCAAAGTTGGAATCTTTTATGCCAATGTTGTAGGAGAAAGTACCTTCTATGATACTTTGGAGGTCCCAAAGGACTCCACCGATACTAACTGGCTCGGGTTTACCTTTTGCTACTCCATCAATATTCAACTTAAGTGTGCCTTGAGGACGAGGTGTCTAAGTGGAGTTCACTTTCAGCTTACTCTTTTTTCCCTTAACAATGGAAGTAATGGGATAAGTGAGGCATATATTAGATGAAAGACGCCCCAACTACCACTTGCTCTTACACCAAAGTGTGTGGCGTAAGAAGATAATATCAATAATCTAGTGAGAGTCAAAAGTCTTGTTCTCGAATATAATTTCATTACAACAAAGCCACAAAGACCAAAGGAAGGTGAAAAAGAGCATTCTCCAAGGATCTCTTTTTTGGTTTCGAATATATACGATAGGATTTTGATTGTAGCCTATACCGTACAAATATTCCTTGCACTACTTTAGATTGTAATTTATCCCTTAGAACATTAGGTACATGTTAATAACAAATGCATCAAAAAACACGTAGGTGCCTTACAAATGGCTTTCTTTCCAACGAAGCTTCATATGGAGTCACGAATGTTTAGCAAATATAC